GATAAGACCACCCTAAATCCACATCCCCATTTTTCAAAAACCTGTTCTGTCCTTTTTGCAAAGATGATTTTATTCATATAGAAAATGCAGGGACTTCCCCCAATGGTCTAGTGGTTAAGACTCCAAGCTTCCACTGCAGGGGTCGTGGGTTTGATCCCCAATCAGGAAACTAAGATTGTGCATGCATGCTCCAGCCAAAAAGAAAGAAAGAAAATGCAGTCACTGTTTAGTTGGGTTAAACTTTTCATTTCTTGCCGATAGTTTGTATTTATCTGTATTGGGGTGACCATCTCAGAGGAAAAGGCAAAAATCATGTCTATAGAGATTGCTTGACCCCTGGAATATTCAGAATTTGGTCCAATAATTCCCTTTTCTTCTTGGGGAAGCAGCCCAGAAAAGAACTAAAGGATGGTTCTGCCTCTGCTAGGATGGGAAAAATGTCAAACACGTGGCGGTCTGTGAGTAAGAGAACCGCACCCAGCAATGACAGGTGTGAGTGGCCGGGCTGAGTGTGTGGGTGAGGACCCCTGGGGTGCTGATTCAGGGCTCAGTGTTAGATGAGATTTTTAAGCCATTCTTCTTGTTTACACCTGTTGAGCTGGAGTTTTCCTTTCCTTTTCCTTTTTTAATATGGAAGTGAAAGTGTAAGTAGCTCAGTCATGTCTGACTCTTTGCAACCCCATGGACTGTAGCCTGCCAGGCTCCTCTGTCCCTGAAATTCTCCAGGCAAGACTAATGGAGTGGGATTACCATTCCCTTCTCCAGGGGATCTTCCCAACCCAGGGATTGAACCTGGTTCTCCTGCATTGCAGGTAGATTCCTTACCTTCTGAGACACCAGGGAAGGCTTTAAGAATGTGCGTGTGCCCCTCAGTGCAAGGAGAGCCGCTCCCATTAAGTGAATTGGCGAGGAGTCATGCTAATCTCCTCTGTATCATTCCAATTTTAGTATGTGTCCTGCTGAAGTGAGAACTGGAGTTGTCTTTGATTCGCTGGGGAAGGCAAACCCCACAGAGACCCAATGTCTCAACAAGAGCAAGCAGCATCAGCTGCAGAGATCCCACTCTGAAAAGATTGAGACGTCTTCCTTATTTTGCTTATTTCTCACAGAAGGGGCAGACTAGGAACCACCATTCTGGGATCTGCCTTGGGGCTGGGCTCCAACCAGCTGCTCTGAAGTTAAGTTCTGTGGCCCCGAGCAGGGGTGGGGCAGACCCTGCTGCCCACACACTTGATGAGGGTGGGCCTGAGTCTGGGAGCAGAGCAGGGGAACGGAAGCCTGCAGAGTGAGCTGGCTGAACATGCTTTTCCCAGAAACACACTCGGAATGCTCATCTTTTTTTTCCCTTTTTTTGAGGCTTTCTTTTATCACGCTCAGTGAAGCTCTGTATGCCCAAGCTCCTTGATGAGGCTTGATGAGTAGGAGGAAATTTACCTTGTGAAAAGTTAACCTTCAATAAAGCAAACAAGAAAGGCTGTATGTCTTGAGCTGAAGGCTTTTATAGCAACGAGGCCAAGTTTATTGCCATGAAATGTGCTGATAGCATAAAAGCACCCAGGCTCGCCTCATCCCAACCACACCCCAGTTTCTCATGAAGGTTTTCCTCAGTCTCTCCACTGCCATCTGCCAAGGGCCACCTCCATGGCCCAGCTACTCTGGTCACCAGGCACCTACTTGCTCTTCTCCTTGCCTCTCTCCCCAGCGTCACACTGTGGGGAGTTCAGTTGCAATGTGTGTTCTGTGCTTGGGCTTTGAAAACAAGAGACAATGATAGAACAGCACCAGATAAGGAAGCAGAGAAGGGGGTTATGACAGTTCATATCATACCTGAAAATTCTAGAAGACTACGTTATACCTGTTCTGATTTATTTCTTCTCCAAGGATGGTTCAAAATATGGAGCGTCGCTTGCTGTGCTAAGGACTGAACATAGAGAAATGTTTGAGGCCTGGACTCTTCTTCTAAGCTACTTGTTATCTAATCACTGCTGCTGCTGCTGCTGCTAAGTCGCCTCAGTCGTGTCCGACTCTGTGTGACCCCATAGACGGCAGCCCACCAGGCTCTGCCGTCTCTGGGATTCTCCAGGCAAGAACACTGGAGTGGGTTGCCATTTCCTTCTCCAATGCTTGAAAGTGAAAAGTGAAAGTGAAGTCGCTCAGTCGTGTCTGACTCTTCGCGACCCCATGGACTGCAGCCCACCAGGCTCCTCCATCCATGGGATTTTCCAGGCAAGAGTACTGGAGTGGGTTGCCATTGCCTTCTCCAGTTACCTAATCATAGACAGACATAAAGACAATTCCTATAATGAAATGGGAAAAATATTACAATAGCCTCCTTTGATGGTTAAGATATTCTCAATTATAAGTTACTATGCATTCTACCCATACAGTCTTAAACAATAAAGTCAAGATTTACTGACTCACATAACTGAAGAGTCCCTATGGAGGGTAGACAATGCTGTGATTGATCAAGGTTTACCCATTCTCTGTGCATCTGTTTCTTTCTCAAATTGGATTGCCTCATGGTCACAAAATGGCTGCCAGTGCAACCAGGCTATAAGCTTCCACATTCAAGTTGCTTTCTTCAGCCATGGACCAGAAGCCTTCAACTTTTCTATGGAATGGTTATCAGCATTTTGTATGACTTAGAGTCATACAAACCCAAGCTTTAACTCTGTCCCTGCCATCTTCCGGTCTTGTGGGTCTGGGCAATTTACAAATCTTAGTGTCTGTAAAGTCCAGAGAACAGCAGCACCAGACTCACTGGGTTGTGGTGAGACGTAATGAAGTGAATGAGACCAAACACTTAGCACAGCCCCAGCCACAAATGTGGCTGGAGGGGGCACTGGTTGCATCCTGAGCGTCTTGCTTTCCCTGGGGGCCCTACACCTCTCCCACACAGCCCAGACTCGCTGGGGAGAGCCAAGTCTTCCCCAGCTCCAGGGATGAGACTCAACCCATCCTCTGGCCTTGGTTATCAGTTTAGTGCTGGGCATGTGCCCCCAGGCTGGCTCAGAGAGAGTAAAGACATTTGCTGGGGGTTGTGGCCAATCATATTTCCAAGATGGTGACAATGATAGCTTCCGTCCCACCAACTCTTCGTGGATGTGACCTTGGGACACATGAGTGATAAGGACTGCGGTCTATTCCCCTGAATACCGGCAGCCCTTTGTAACCACTGCAACCAACAGAGCACAAAGGAAGTGATACTGTGTGATTCCTGAGACCAAATCATAAGAAAATCACGCAGTCCTGCCTTGTGCCCTTGGATCCCAGGTGCCATGCTCTTAGGAAGCCCAAGCAGCTCTGTATGCAGAGGAACCAAGTTCCCAGCCAGCTCCAGCACCAGTTTGTCAGCCGCATGAGTGGGCCATCTTGAAATGGATTCTCCAAGCCCCAGTTTATCTGCTCCAACTGATGCCATGTAGAGCAAGGATGAACTGTTCTTGTTAAGCCCTGCCCAAATAGCAGGTTTATAAGCAAAATTAAAATTTTGGGGGTGATTTGTTGTATGGAAAAGTGTAACCAGAACAGGAATTTGGAAAAAGAGATTCCCTCTGCCATTTAAAGGTTTGAAACAGAGTTGGAGCCACTGCACCCATTTTGGCATCATGAGGGAAGCCATTGTGAGGGTAAAGTTGCTGCTACAGAGGACAGGAAGAAGAGGTGAACCTGAACCTAGCCCTCTGAACTGCTAGCTGCACTGCTAGCTCAACCATCCATGATACCCACACAGCCCCTATAACTTTCCAGTTAATATGAACAATAATATCCTCTCCAACATTTAAGCCTTTCTGAACTGGATTTGTTACTCATAACCCAAAGCATCCTAACTAGGATATCAAGTATCACTGACAGGATCACCACCTGGGTTTAAAGCCAAGGGAAATGTCCTGATCAGGCGTCTTAGAGCAGCAACAGTGGTGGCTTTGTGGGGCTGGCCTGGACAGAGCTGGAAGGCAGGGAAACAAGCCAGGACAACTCCTGGGTCAGAGAAGGTGGGCCTCCAGGGGATAGGTCTGGAGAAGAGCCCTGCTGAGGGCAGTTCACAGGTGCTGTGTTTGATCCTCCATGTGATAGAGATCCTCTGTGTGATAGAGATAGAGATATCACTCAGACAGGCAATTGAGCTGTTGACCCTGATTTGGAAAAGGTTGCACCAACCTTTCCCTCCCCTCTGCACCCATGGGATGGAAAACTTACTTTCCATCAGTGTCCTCACTGGCAGCAAGGAGGGGCTACAGATCTCCAAAAGGATTCCGGAAAGGCCCCGAGGGAAGTGGAAGCTTCCAGGCCCAGCAGCTTGGAAGCTCGTCTGCTGCCCACTGCGCTTGGACAAACCTCTGCCCCCGCTCAGCCTGCTGCCCGCCCTCCATGTGTTCTTGGCCGGTCCCCACCCAGCCTGACCTCAGCCCATCCCACCCTCCAGTCTAGCTGCGCGGGCCTCCCTGCCCCCACGCCCCTCACACAGCTGGGAGTTGTTACTGCAAGCTCTCAGATGTTTACTGAAGGCCTCCCTCGGCATTTTCTCTCCTCTGGCAACACAGATTCTTAAAGAGGCCCGGCTAGTTTTGGTCCTCTGGGCTTCGGGACACCCTCCCTCTGGGTTCTCCCCAGAGGTGCCCTCTTGATCTCGTGTGGGGTGCAGGTGCCAGTGTTGGGACAGCTAGGGTTGGCAAGCCAGAGGACTCTCTTCGTGGTCAGCCCTGGGACCGTGGTGCCCAGGCCACTCTGACGGGGTGGGGGCGGCCACCTCCTTTTCCTCCCTGGCTACACGGAGGTCACCCCCACCCTGAGGAAGGCAGCCCGCAGCCCAGAAATCCCCCACTGCACCACAATGAAGAAAATCCTTCTTGAAGGAGCTGAGGCTTTTAAGCACTTTCAGAAATCCTCTGACCTTGCATGAGACCGGGCAGGCTGCCCGTGCACGTGTCCAGCTGGCCCCGCCAAGGTCAGAGGGAGCTGCCCGGCCCAGTGGGGTGGAGGAGCTGGCCTGGCCCGCCATGCGGTCAGCGGTGGGGCCTCCTTGCTGTTCTCGAGGCCAGGGCCACCGAGGAGGGTGCCCCCAGGGGCCTGCCTGGCTGCGGCATCGGCTCCGTGCCAGCAGGGTGCAGTGGTAAAGAGAGTGGTAAAGAGTCTGCCTGCCAGCTCCCCCTTCTCCTCTCTGAACCCCAATCAATGCAAAGCCTCCAAATTACTGGGAAGCCTGAACCCCAATCCTGTAACACTGCCTGTGGGCCGGAGGGGGTGGAGGAATGTTTATGGCTGGGCCGGGGTGGAAGGGCACTGGGGTCTCTAACAGGGGTCTTTGAAAGAGTCAATATTTCTGAAGGTCCTGGCACTGAACTGGACCTCCACAAACATATGGTCACGATAGAAGATTCATAAGCATCTCACATGGGCTGAATGTTTGTGTCCCCCTGAAATCCACATGTTGACAACTAACCCCCAGTACAATGGCATTAGGATGTGATCTGGTCAGGAGAGGGAGCCTCAGGAATGGGGTTAGTGTCCTAATAAAGGGCATCCCAGCTGGCACTAGTGGTAAAGAGTCTGCCTGCCAATGCAGGGGATGTAAGAGACGCAGGTTCGATCCCTGGGTCAGGAAGATGCCCTGGAGAAGGACATGGCAGCCCCCTCCAGTATTCTTGCCTGGAGAACCCCATGGACAGAGGAGCCTGGTGGCTGCAGTCCACCGGGTCGCAGAGTCGGACATGACTGAAGTGACTTAGCATGCGTTCATGTCTTAATAAAAGGGAACTCAGGGGGCACCTTCACCCTTCTGCCCTGTGAGGATGCAGCCAAAATCAATGGCCATCTATGAACCAGGAAGAGGACCTCATCCAATGCTGAATCAGACTCCAGCCTCCAGAAGAGCAAGGACTAAATCTCTGTTTTATGAGCCTCCAGGCTGCGGTGCTCTGTTAGAGCATCCTGAGCAGACTCACAGCCACCCTCATCCTCATGACACGAGGGACTGTGGCCCATGGAAGCCTTCAGCTGCCCCAGTGACATCTCCTGGAGAGAGGAAGTGTATCAGCCCCCCTTTACTGAGATCAAGCTAAGGCTCAGAGAGGCGAAGGCTTCTGCCTAAGGCCACCAAGCTGAGAGGGGTCAAGCCTGGATACGTGATGCTGAGGCTGTTTCACCATCTTTTGCACTGGATCCATCGGGAAACTGGAGGTCACCTTGCTTGTCTGGTTATAGCTGCAGGGTGAGCAGCAGGGGTGGCCTGGCGTGGCAGCTACAGGGTAAATCCAGGGCAAACAGCGGCTCAGCTTTGGCTTAGATGCTTTCAAGCGGCACCTCCTGGTGAAATGTAATTCAAGGCAATGCCCTCTAAGATCAGAAGGTGGGTAGAAGGGGGTAGCCAAAGGCCTCCCCTGAGGCTGGCTTTTTGGTGCAGGCTTGGGAAGGCCCCAGCAGCAGAGGAGGAGATGATAAAGACACCAGCCCGAAAGACAGTGAAGGTCAAAAGCAGCCCTGGTTACCAGCACCACCCTCCTAAGTCGTTGTGTTGCCAAGGCAACGCTCCTCCCGAGCTACCCATCCCCGTTCAGGGTCTGCTGTGACTGAAGCGAAAGCCTCCTTAGAAAAGGCTTGAGGCTGGTCTGATGGAGACCAGCTGCTCAGCACAGCACACACACAGTCACGGGGAGCTGCCCTGGGCACCGTCCCCCTCCAGGCAAGGTTCTGGGAAAAGAGGTCAGCGACCCCTCATCTCCCACCTGTGACAGCCTCCCTTCCCCTCGCTTTATTGAGCTGTCCTGGCCACACATCTGGTTCACCACTGCTTTCTCCTGTCTAATCCTTCCCTCACCCCCATTGCAGCAAAAAGGAGATGGAGCTTGGGGAGCCAGAACAGAGCTGACCTACCCAGAATAGAGCTGACCTAACCAGAAAGGTGGGGGGGTGGAGGGGGGGCGGAGGGAGGGGGGGGTACTGTGATATCATAAAATGAGAAATATATACTGGGTCCTTGACCCCAGTTCCTGGTATAAGAACTTCCAAAACCCTTGGAATTTCATGAGAGGGTGAGAGGACCATCCTTTGGCATTCATGAAAAGCCCCTTTTTGACCAAAACTGAGCTTATGAGAATGAGGTGGCTCTTGGTGGGCCCATTGGTAACCTCAGGATGGGGCTAGTTGCCATAGGAACCAACCAGCTTCATTAAAGCTTAGAATTTTTAGCCCCACCCCCCTGACCTCTGAGAAGTGGTAAGTTTGTTGTTCAGTCACTTTGTTGTGTCCAACTCCCTGCGACCCCATGGACCCCATGGCAGCACGCCAGGCTTCCCTGTCCATCGCCATCTCCTGGAGTTTGCTCAGACTCATATCCATTGAGTCAGTGATGCCATCCAACCATCTCGTCCTCTGTTGTCCCCTTCTCCAGGACTGGAGTTAATCCTAATGGCCAATGATTTAGCCAATCATGCTTAAGGAATGAGGTCTCCCTGAAAACTCCTAAAAGATGGGGTTCAGGGAGCTCTGTATGCAGGTGCTTGGAGGGTGGTGAGCAAGTGAACACAGCAGCTCTGCACCCCTCCCCACACACACACCTTCCAATTGCCTCTTTCTGCATTGCATCCTTTATAATAAGCTGCTATTAGTAAGGACAGTGTTTCCCTGAGTTAGAATCACTCTAGCAAATCCTACACCTGAAGAGGGGGTGGTAGGAACTCCCCAACCCTAGCTTGCAACTGGCATCTGAAGTGGGGGTGAGTCATAGCTCAGTTAAGGGACTGAGCTTTTAACTTGTGGGGTCTGCTAAAACTCCAGGTAGTGTCAGAGGGCTGGAAATGTGGTATTAGAAACAACAATACAGATTTGGTGTTCGGAGGGTGAAACCCCTCATTTGGAGTCAGAAGTACTATAACAGTGGCATAGAGGGGCAAAGGTGTAAGAGCTTTCAAAGCCTCTGGGTGGCTCCCATAGGCAGCCAGCAGCTGTCACTGGTCTAGACTCCAGGGCACTTTGCAGTTGACTGACCCAGAGTCCCCTGGAGGGCTCAGAGATACCGATTGCAATCCCTAGGTTTTCTGACTCAGGGAGACTGGGGCAGACCCGAGCATTTGCACTGCTAACAAGTTTCCCAGCTGCGCTGGGCTGCTGTTTCACAGATTTTACACTTCATCTTCTTATGACTCCAAAAAAGATTCAAGTTCTAAGTGTTTGAGGTTTTTTCTCCCAAGGTGTAGACGTGGGAGCTTCTGGCACAGTTTTGTATCAATGTTTTGTCTGAATGCATGAATTGATTCACTCATTCAACCAAGATTCAAAGGCTACCGTGCTGCTGCTCTGAGCTGGGTGTGCCTGGGATCTGATGGTGAAAAAAATGAAATCAGTCTAGATTTCATTCTAGTCTCCTGGCAGAGACACACGTGAGGTTTGGCCATGCCCTATGGAAGGATGTTAGGGAAATCAAAACGGAGGAAGGTCTTATTCAGGCTTCAGAACCAGAGGCCTAGGCCTCTGACCTGCTTCTGACTCTCCTGCACACTGCCCAGATTCTCTGCCTGCCTGCAAACAACCAAGTCAGAAGGCACTTTATTTATTTATTTTTTTTTCAGAAGGCACTTTAGATAAGACAAGCTTTGAATTTCTTAAGCTCCGGAGGACCTGGCCAATCCCCCAGGTGTCTAAATGCAACCCCATGACTCACCAGGTAAAACAAAGGCATCCTTAAAGTTAAATGTTAAAGTTAAGTGTTGAAATTGTTTATTGTGTGTGATGAGTGGTTTCTCAACAAATCCTTCAAACCTAAAATGAAGTAAAACTTTTGGCAAAACAAAAGATTATTGAGTGGGGGGATGGAGAGTATGTCATGGACACAGGACAGGGTAGCTGCCTCCAGGCTGAAGACAGAGGCTTTCCCAAGAGTTCAGGCATCTGAGTCACTGGTTCCTAGAGTGTGGTCCCCAGAGTGTGGCCTGAAGACCAGGAGTGCTGGCAATACTGGGAGCTGGTTAGAAATGCAGAAGCTCAGGCCCTTTTTAGTAAAAGCCTGAGATCTGAGGCTCCTCCAAGGTTGAGAGGCTCCCAGACCTGAAGGATAAAAAAGAATTAACCTGGTGAGGAGGACGGGAGTGTTTCAGAAGAAGAAATCATCTGTGTGTAGTCTAAGGAAGAAAAGAAGTTCCTCTGAGCAGAACTAGGATTTGGGGGCGGGTGGAGAAGAAACCTCTTTCCTTGTGAAGGATCCACCACTAGGGACGCTCCTGGGGTCTGAGGCCATCTCCAGGATTAGGATCAGAGGGATCAGAGGTGATGGTGAGCTTGGCGAGGCAGAGATCCCCAAGCCTGTTCCTGGCTGGCCCTTGATAGCAGGGAGCCAGCAGGGCCACCATGACTCCGGCCCTGCACCCTCCCTGTCTTACTGGGCAAGGCAAGGACAGCTCCGTCCTGAGGCCCCTCGGCCCCCTCTGGACTGGCTGCCTGGCCTCCCTGAGACTCCTAGGTTCATCTGCAGCCTTGTTCGGCCCCTCTCCCAACACCCCCCTGCTCCTTTTCTCTCTTTAGGTCACAGCCTGCAGCCGGCTCCCCATGATTCCTCCAAACCGGCTCCAGCGGCCCGTCTGTCCGGGTGCGTGTGTCCTTCTTTCTCCGTCTCTGCCGGTCACGTGCTTGTCTCCTGCAGGCAGAGACCCCGGTTCGGCCTGCAGGGGCCTCCAGGAGAGCCTCCTGTCCCGACAGGCTGCACACACATATCTGGCGCCGGCATCTGTGCAGACGGATCGGACTGGCACTCGGGCAGCGATCGTGTGGGGACCAGGGAGCTGGGAGAAGGGCTCTGCATTCCTTCCCTGACATTTTGCAACGACCACATGCTTGGCTCTGAGCTCCTGGCGTCCCCACCAGCGACATTCTTTCAGCACATCAGCTGCTGCCACATCAGACCTTTCCTGTCCAGCGCTCCCTGAGGCCCCAGGGCCTGCCACCTTCACCCCGGGCCACATGGGTGAGGCACCAACCAGTCATCCTGAATTCTGGCCATTTCAGGAGGTCTGAGACACTTTGTGTGAGGCTGTGGCCAAAACCTAGAGGCTGAGGGCCTGAGCAGGGGGAAACGGCTTTTTAAAAACACTACATTATGTGACATTTTCACCTCCATGAAAAAGTAAATGGAATAAATTACAAAGAAACAAACAAACAAAAACCTCTCCTTGCCGGAATAATACACCAGTGTCCTGGAGGGGAAAGTTGCCCATAAATGCCCTCCCCCAACCGAAGCACCAAAATGGGTCACAAGCTCCTCACCCCCAACCATGTGCACCCCAAACCCGTAAATGGGACTCCACTGGGCCCCTCCTAGGGATCACCCAGGGCTGCTGCCCAGGGAGGAGGGTGGAGGTTAGGTCCCAAAGAACATCTGGGTCGTTTGGGGAAGGAAGACGTGAGAAACGGAGACTCGATAGACAGCAGTGAGTGTTCAATGCAGGATTATTCCACGCTTGTCTAAGTTGATGGTGCGTCTTGAATCTCCTTCACGTCAGCACACGAGCGGTCCCTGAAGTCCTTTTGCACAGCTGTATAGTCTTCCACTCCTCAGAGGGCCTGTGATATATTAATTTCTCAGTGCATCTGAGTCTCCCTCCTGTGTCTGGGAAACCTCCCATCATGTGAGCTGAAAAGACCAGGTCCCTGCTCTCAGATGCCCTCTCAGGGCCTTGAGTCTTCAGCCTGTGGCCGGTGAGACAGGGCTGGTCCAGGGAGCTTGCTGGTGGCAGTGGAATGGCCATAGCATCCAGAAGCCGAGGTCCCATGAGGCCGTGAGCACATCCATGAACATGGTTGGAGGTGAGGAGCTTGTGACCCATTTTGGTGCTTCGGCAGTTTTATAATTTTTTTTTATCTTAGTTCTCCAACCAGGGATTGAACCCATGCCCCTGCAGTAGAAGCCTGGAGTCTTAAATACTGGACCTCCAGGGAAGTCCCATCTGGTGGTCTTACTTCTAACCCGACTCTCTGGGGCCTGCCGTCTTTGGCTTTCTGGTTACATACGAGGAGCTGATGACAAATAGCACTCCTTTCAGTGGGAGATGGAGTCTGTTTTGCCAACCCTTGGCTCCCTGCTGGCCCTGGGATGTTGGGGTGAGTTCCAAGCCTGGGCCTCAGGAGGCCTTGCATTTTGAATTATGGAACCCCTGCCACCACGTGACCAAGCCTGGGTCATTGTCCACCAGGATGGGAGACGATATGGAGGGAACACCACACCTCCCCCTCCCCCCGATTCCTGCTGTCCCAGATGAAGCCTCAACATGAGTGAGCCCAGCCAACCCTGTGCAGAGCCAAGATGACCCAACACAGCCGAGCCCAGCAGATCACACACAGATGTATGGTGGTGGGAATGAGTCGCTAAGTTCCGTAGTGGAGAGTTCCTTGTGGAAAGTTACCTGGAACACTGCTGCTGCTGCTAAGTCATTTCAGTCGTGTCTGACTCTTTGTGACCTCATGGACTGTCACCTGCCAGGCTCTTCTGCCCACAGGATTCTCCAGGCAAGAATACTAGAGTGTGTTGCCATGCCCTCCTCCAGGAGGTCTTCCTGACCCAGGGATTGAACCCAGGTCTCATGTCTCCTGCATTGGCAGGCAGGTTCTTTACCACTAGCACCACCTGGGAAGCCCATCCAGAACACTGACCTTCCTTAATTCCTGCTCAGTTCCTCAGCCTGGTTCTCCAGCCTCCCCACTCATTCTGTGAGCTTCCTAATTCCTTCTGGAAACCCCTTTTCTGCTTAAGTTCACCAGCGTGTGTGCGAATGTCAGTCACTCAGCCCGACTCTTTGCGATGCCACGGACTGTTGCCCACCAGGCTCCTCTGTCCGTGGAATTCTCCAGGCAAGAATACAGGAGTGGGTTGCCATTTCCATCTCCAGGGGGTCTTCCCGACCCCAGGGATTGAACCCAGGTCTCCTGCATTGCAGGCGGATGCTTTACCATCTGAGCTACGAGGGAAGCCCTAAGTTCACCAGAGCTGCTTTCTATTTTCAGCAACTAAGAAGGTTGGCTGGTATAGAAATTGGTGGTAGAAATGGATATCAGGTAATGGACCTCCAGGGAACCAGAGGCTAAAAGCAGAGAATGACCCATTTGCACACACATACCCCAGAGCTGCCGGAGTTAAAAAGACTGAGGCTGTGAGGTGCTGCTGGAGATACAGAGCAAATGACACATGCACGCTGCCAGGGAGACTGGGCACTGGGAGAGCTAAATGCCCAGCAAGTCCACTCCTAGGTACACGCCCAAGAGAAATGAGCCCACTCGTCCACCAAAGCACATCACAAGAATGCTCATAGAAGCTTTACCCCAAAAACCAAAACACTGGAAACAGCCCCAAAGCTATAGAACAGGTTGATGAATTGTGGTGAATTCAGACAATGGAATTCTGCTCTGCTGCCTGGAACAACACACATGAATCTCGGACAAAATATTGAGCCAAACAAGGCTGACACGGAAGGGCACATACTCTGATTCCTTTATATGAAGATCAAGATGAGGAAAGGTTAATCTATGTTGACAGAAGTCAGAACAGTGGCTGTGCTGACGGTGGTGGTACTAACCAGGGGGAGAGGCAGGAGGAAGCCTTCTGGGGATGAGGGAAGCTTTCACTGTCTGGGTCTGAGTGGTGGGTTCATGGTATGCAGGTGTAATATCAAAATGAACTGAGCTCATTTTTGTATGTATGCATAGCTATAAGTATGTGTAGGTATATGTGTATGTTATACCCCAGGAAAGTCATTTCTCCAAATCCCACTGGCTGCCAGGGATGGGAGTTCGGCATTGCCCCCAGTGGTGAAGCTGCTGATTCAGTCATTGCCTGTGGTTCCCTGGAATGAGGTGTTCAAGCACTGAAGGGCCAGAGATGACTGCTTTTAATGGGACTAAAGCAAGGATGAAGCGAGTGAGGCACCTTAGGTGAAAAATTCAAGAAACATTCCATCTCGGGGGATGGATGACTGGGGAAAGCCCGTTGTCCTTTTCTGTTACCTCCTTCCTGCTTCCTGAAAGGCAGACATGATGGCTGGAACCCCAGCAGCATTATGGACCATGAGGTAACCTTGAGAATGGCAGTCACATACTAAATGGTGCAGAAAGAGAAGGAGCCTACCTCTCTACTATGTGAGAGAGAAAGAAAGGATCTCAAATAAGCCACTGCTATTTTCAGTTGTCATTATATGAAGCTGAAGCTAAAAAGAGCTAATATAGGTACATCTATCAGGGATCTAGCTTCCTCACTAGCTTGAGCAGCTGAGAGTGATGCTAACTGTCTCCTCAATTCAATGACTGAAAACTGGCCTCCCTGGGGGCCAAGAATTCCTTGGTACAAGGCAGAGAAAGGAATCCAGGAGGCAGGACCCCTGAAGAATGTACTGTGAGCAACCAATCTCTAGCCTCTAATTTGGAAAGACCCAGACAGCTGTCTTTGCCCCAAGACCTGGTGAAATCACTGGTAAAGGAGGCACCAGCCTTTTAGAAAGTGTCCTTGTGGCTTATCTCTGAAGGTCAGAGAGGGCCCCCCCACCAGAGACACTGACACTGAGAGGGCTTCCTGACTGCAGTGGGAGGGATGTGGCTAGCTGTTCATGAGATGCTCGGGACCAAAATAGATGAGCAGCTTGCAGAGCTCTTACTTAATTCTTATCACTGAGAAAAAACCCGAGCAGAGCCATTATGAAAGGGGTGCGGTCAAAGAAAAAAAAAAAGAAAGGGGTGTGGTCCCCTGTGAATTTCTGGGTTACTCAGAGCCCCCTCAGAGGCAAGTGGTCAAACTTCTTAGGCCCTAGACTTCAGCGGTGTGCAATCCTGACAACCTTCCTCCTGGCCATTAACCAGGTGACTGAGAGCTCCCAGGAAAAGTTCTGTGGGCTCTAGTACACACTTGGTTAGCAGACTATCTTGGACTAGACCAGGTGAAGATACCAGTGGGCCCTCCTGTTGTTCCAGACACAGCCTGATTGGAGCAGAGTGGTATAGCCCAACAGCTGGAATGCCCTGGCCACTGAGAAAACGGCACCCCCTCTGGACGTTTGAGGTGGCACGTGCCACACTTGGTGCTGCTGTGGCCCGTTAGTGGTGACCCAAAACCTGGAGTCAGAGCACAGCGCAGGCAGCTCACCTGCCATCCAGGGCATCGACATTTAACTCGATTTGGATCGGCCCTCCCCCCCCATCAGTCCGCCTTAGCACTACCACCCCTGGACTCACCGACCAGCATGATGGCTGGACGGCTGCTCCCGGAGCATGAAGGTGCCGAGGTCAAGGGATTTGCTGTTGTAAGAGCAGCCCCTGATAAGGAGCTGGCCTGTGAATCGGAGGGCGGAGGGCGAGGACAAATCCCAAGGCTCAAGATAACAGTGACAGAAGAATCTGGGTCTGAAGACATCAACAGCACATTAGCTAATCCTGGAACCGCCCAACTTCCAGATTCCTTAATACGTTCTTTCATCATTTACTGCCAAACAGATCAGAACAAAGCAATCCCAAACAAACACCCAGCCCTGGGCTCTAGTCTGTGGCAGTGTGAGTCCCTCCTGGACCTGCACCCCTAGCGAGGGAGCCAGTGGTGGCCGAGCAGGACAGATTAGTCCCCAGGGCCAGACGTTCTGTGTCCAGTCCCCCTAACTCTGGACTCTGCTGGTTTAGAGTTTTTACACCCACGAAAGCAATGTTTCCACCAAGAGACACCTCCAGGCTCCACTGGCCAGAAGCTGAGACCAGCATCTGACTTGGGGGGCCCTCATTGCTCGGGCAAATGGGATGGGTGAGGAAAGAAGGCAGCAGGCCTACCCTGGGTGGCTGGACCCTGATCATCAGGGGACAAGCCTGCCACTCAAAAACCTACCAGGAGGATGGAAGGAACTCGAGGATTCCTCGGGCGTGTCCTCAAATGGCCGATCCCATGACTCAGGGTGGAGCTGCAGGCTTCCTTATAGCCCGGATCCACCGGGGCCCGAAGCATTCTGGAGGAAAGGTTCTGGTTACCTGACCAGGCCTGTACCTTTACTTCTGGGGTGCTGGCTCTGGGCAGAGGTCCAGGGAGCTGGTAAGAGAGGAGGACGCTGTGTGTTCGTGGCTCATTGCTTCAAGGGGACTGGTGCTCCCCTGTGTGTGTCTGGTGCATGTTGATAACCAACATTTCCTTTCTTCGTTTACCAGCTACGGCCCCCAGTGGTGGTGACAGCCTTGGTCAACTGTGTGGTCTAAACAAAGCGGTAGATTTTTAAGACGTCAAAGAACCACCATAGAGGAGGCCAAGATGGTGGGCCTGGACCCTGGGAGGGGGCTGGGGGCGCCTTCTGGGAAAGGGTGAAGCTGTGTGGGGTCGGGGGAGGCTTTGTGTCTCCCTGCTCTTGTCTTTGCAGGGCTGGAGGGGAAGAGGCGTGTGTGGCGGGGACAGCTGCTGTCTCGGCTGCCCAGCCTCTGAATCTCCCTCCCCATTGGGTGAGTCTAGGGCCACCTCCCTTCTCAAGGCCAGAACAGTCCAGATGCTTGTTCTCTCAGACCCTGGCCAAGAGTGGAGGGCACGTGGCCTGAGCCTGGCCAACCAGATGCTTCCACTGGGGCCTGGTGCCTGGAGCGTGTGTATCACAAAGCGGGGACAGTTTAGAATTCTTGCCCCGCTTGCGGTGGGGGCAGCCTCCAGCGCCCAGAACCCGGTGGTGGCATTCTAACGCAATGTCCCCATGGGACCCCAGGCCCAGTTCCCTTGCCTTACCCTAGATTCTGTGGGTCTTCCAGTCTCCTTCTAGTACACCCTTCTTCTGCCTGACCCTCTGCATCATGGGTGTCTCTTATTTGTGCTCAAGCACCCCATTGGTGGCCTTCTAGGTTCTTTGCAAATTTCCATTTCTACAAACAATGCTGGGACGAGAATCTCTGCCCCCTTCCTGTGCACAAGTGGGAAGATTGATGGGGACGAGATTCCGATTACCTACTGTTCCTTCTCCCTGGAACACACACACTCCTGCCATTTTCCCCACGCCTGCTGCCCCTCACTCTTCACTTCTCCACTGAGATCCACTAAAGTAGCTCCAGCCTGTGCCTCCCACCTTCCTTCCTCTGGTGTCCATCACCCATTATTCCTGCTGGTCCTCAGCCCAAGTGTTTGCTTGCTTGTGATGGCCTGTCTCACCCACGAGACTGCAGCAGCTTCACAGGGAAGAGACCACATCGGCTCATTACTGGATCCCAGGGTCAAGCATATGATCCTCTGTCCCAACACCCTATGGACTTAACAGCCCTTTCTGCGTGAACAAGAGAACTTGGGAACCACAGGGCAATTTTAATGATCTCAGAAAGGGACAGCAGAGGGCGGAGAAAGTGAAAGGCCAGGTGGGAAACCCAACAGCTCCTGGCTCACATCTCATTGCTTCCCAACAAATTAGCCGGGCAGTTAAGTGGGAGTTCTCAGCTCAGAGAGTGCACTGGCTGAAGGAAGGAAGGAAGTGTTAGTCGCTCAGTCGTGTCCAATTCTTTGCAACAAGTTGTCTCTGACTCTTTGTGACTCCATGGACTGTAGCCTGCCAGGCTCCTCTGTCCTTGGGATTCTCCAGGCAAGAATACTGGAGTGGGTTGCTATTCCCTTCTCCAGGGGATCCTCCTGACCCAGGGGTTGAACCCAGGTCTCCTATATTGCAGGCAGATTCTTTAACCATCTGAGCCATCAGGGAAGTCTGCAGTAGCTGAAGTCTTCCAGTAATTTCCGTAAACTCAGAGATCAATGGAAGCAGGGTGGCCACCTGGTGGCCGGTGGTTGGAGGTGGCTGCGGAGAGGAGGTGAAGGAGGGGAGGTGCCCAGCTTCTGACCTCCAGCCTCGAGTCTAGTCCATGCCCGTGGAGTTGGTCAGGTAGAAGGGACGGATGACGACCTGGAATCTGCTGAAGAACCCTGCTGGGCAGGGGAAGAAGGAAGCATTCCTGGAGCTGTTGGTACCCCGGGCGCTGGGGATCAGGGCCTTCCAGCCCTTGAAGTCGATGATGTCTGCCACGAAGGCCCCCTCACAGTGCAGCAGGGCCCGGTTTTCATAGCCGATGGTGGGATTGGAGTATCTGGACTTGGAGAGAGCCAGGAGTGGGGGGTCCTCGGAGGAGCATGAGAACCCGTAGTTCCAGCAGTTCTGGAGGGTGGGGAGGTAGACGAAAGACCAGGAGACAGAGCTGGCCTGGAAGAGGAAGCTGGGATGTGGGGGGGTCTGGAAGGACCGGTAGGGGTTGTAACTGGAGCTCATTATGGACTCACTCCAGGTGGGCGAGGTGTAAAGCCGGGGCTGGTAGGCGTCCTCGGTGAGGTTCAGGCCCCAGTACTGAGCCAGCAGCTCGAAGGGCACAGTGTGGAACTCCAGGGCCTGCAGTATCTTCTTCTGGAGGAGCGCCTCGTGACTCCAATACAGGGACAAGTTAAACTGCAGTGAGAAAAGTTCCCGGGGCGGCATCATGGGGAACCGCACCTTCTCCACCAAGCCCTCCACTTCCTCATGAGAGGGACGCCTCTCCCGGCTCCACTCGTCCACGGCCAGCAGCAGGACCAGCTCGCTGGGCACCACCAGTTCAGTCCTGGAGAGCAGGTCTTGGAGCAGGGCCAGGGGGACGCTCGGCCAGGCCTCAGCCTGCGTCAGGGCCCCGAAGTTCCAGGCCAGGAACTGCACGCAGATCTCCTCCAGCACAGGGTCCCGGGTGGCCATGGCGTAGGCATGGAGCTCCAGGGGCGTCCGGAAGGAGGGGTCCTGGGGGATGAGGATGGCAAAGAGGTGCCCGCAGTAACTCTGCAGCTGCGCGGCCTGGTAGGCAGAGGCGAGCTTGTGCAAACACTTCACCGACGACAGGGACACGTTGATCCTCCGGGAGTAGAGGTACCTGGGGGGAGACAAGGGCTGATGCCTGGCCACACCCCTTCTTCCGAAGGATGACAGGTGTGCCCCAGTGCAGGTGTGCAGCTGACTGCTGATACCCGGGTGCTAGCTATTTCAGGGGGCATCCAGAGCCCCCTGATTTATCTCCTGAGTCGACCCCCATTCTAAGCTTACGATGGCTGAGAGCCAGGTGCACCGGCAGCTGGGTGGATCCCAGACTCCTTGAGGATGTTGCTTCATCCTCATCGGTGGGGACGGTCCCACCCTCCTCCATCATCGTCGTCGTCTTCATGGGCTGGGCCCTGACACCAGGACCTGCTGGCCATCTGGGACACTGCCCTTCCCTTTCCCCCGTCACGCCCCTGGGCAGAACTCTTGAGTGTCCCACTGGGTGCCCATGGGCACCCCTGTGTTTCAGCACCTGTCTGGTGCCCCCATGACATGGGCGTCATCATGGGTCACCTCCTGTCTGCCATCCCTGCCAGCCGTGAGCCCTGTGGTGGCACCCAGTTTATGGCACCTGCCGCGTAACAGTGCACCACCAGGAGGCACTTTGCTTGTGAAGACACGCGTGGAGGGAGCCTGCTGGAAGGGGAAACGCCAGGTGATGGCCCCTGCCGTCTCCTGGGAGATGTTGAGTGGGGCCCTGCTTTGGAAAGAACCAAACTCTCTCCACCGCTTCTCTCAAATGATGAGCCTTCCAAGGAGCCTCAGACTGGCTGGCTTCCCTATCGCCTAAACACGGAGCCTCGGGGGCCCAGAATGGAGCCAGGGCCCCACGGAGTCCAGTGGCAGCAGCAGAGGTGGGCCGGCCCTCAGCCCACCGCTCTGCCCTGATGTGCTCATTACATCCTGTGATCCTGCTGCTGACCGTGAACTCGAGAGCAAGAGTGGTCATCTGCACCACGTGGGGGTCACCGAGCAGAGGGAAGGTGAGTGTGTGGCGGGGGTGGAAGCAGTGAACAAGGTCTCCAGAGGCCCTCTGGGGCCTGGATGGGGCTAGTTGCTGCCTCTCTGCCTTAGAGGAGGGAGAGAGACAGAGAGAGAGGGAGGTAGGGAGAGACAGAGAGAGACACTAAGAAACGGGGCGATAGGAAGACAGAGAGAGAGACAGAAGGAGACAGAAAGAGACAGGCAGATAGAGACAGGAAGGCAGAGAGAGGCAGAGAGAGCGAGCTGGAGCACATGGCCAGACAGTCCAGAGAATCACTGACTCTGACCAAGGGCGGAGACTGACGGGCCGAGAGGCTGAGGCCAGGCACAGCTGCATCCCAGACCTCAGCCCTGCTGGGAGGGGCACAGGACAGCTGCCAAGCTCTCACCCTTGTCTGAAAAGACGCCATTTAATCTTTTTAGACGGCGACTTGCTGTTTCCTCTTAAATGTCACTCTCGGCTACCGACAACTTTGGCTCATGAGAGGGAATGGCTTTCCGTACACTCGGTCTTTCGGTTCTTTCTTCAAACTGATGCTCCCAGAACACCAGTCCCTGGGAAGACCACCCGAGGTGGTGACATAGTGACCCCCAGCAGGATGGTCTGCGGGGGACGGGGCTGATCCCTCGGGGCCCACTCTCAACTGGGAGATGGGTTCCCGGCGTGGCCAGCCCGCTGGTTAGACCGCTGCCTGGATGTGCCGCCTGGGGATTTTTTCCCCCCTTTCTTCCAGCAGCAAACTTGGATTTCCGTTTCTTTAAAAAAATTTTCGTAGGAGCAGATCAGTGAGGTGAGAAGAGGAAGAATGACTTTGATAGTTATTTTTTGGGCACTTATGACACCCGAGAGGTGTGTGTGTGTGTGTGAGGGCTGACCCATCTCTCACAGTCCTCGCGGAAAGAATACATAAGAGTGTGTGTGCAAAGGTGAGGACATGTGGCTGTAAAGGTGAGTGTGCGCACGTGTGTGGGTGTGTGAGCACGTGTGCACACAAGTGTGCGAGCACAGCTGCGGCTGGTGCCATGTCCCTGTCCCTGGGGTTTTCCTTTGGAGGGGACGCTGCCCAGTCCCCGGGCCTGGCCCCGAGGACACTCACCTGATGAAGTCCCTGACGACGGGCACACACTCGGGATCCACCTCCATGGTGACCCTGCTGCCCGGCTCCTTCCACAGGCCGTGGGCCTCGGGGTTGGTGGACAGGATCAGCTTGTGCGCGCACATGGCCAGCTCGTCCTCCTCTCTTGCCTTCACCCTGATAAACAGGTCACAGCCCTTCTGGCTCTCAAAGATCTGCTCTAGAGCCGCAGGGAGTTCGCCGGACAGGTCGAGGGTGTAGACACCTCTGGTTTCTATGAAGGGGCAGGGGGACGCATGTTAGGAGGGGCCCCGGCACTCTCTTCCTCTGTGACCCGAAAACACCTTTGCTCCCCGGAGTCAGATTCTTCCCTTACTGTGCGTCCCGCCTTAATGACTCAGAAAGGCTCCTGGGGAGATGGGGAAAGAACGGCCCTAGAACACAGGGTGCCATTGTCCCCCGTGGCCCAGAGCCCCATCCTGTCAAACACCCTTACATTGTAGCTCACCTGCTCCCCAACATTCAGATGGCACATCTTGGGGGGGGGTTTGGTGGGGCTGACTCCCAGAACTTGGGGCCCCATACCAATCAGTCAGCCAATCAACCACCCAGATGTGACTTTCTAAAACCTGAACCTCCTGCCTGGTCTGGTCTGAAGAGGGTCCCACGGCAACGCGCTTTAGAGCTTTGGGGTCCTTGGCTGCCTCCTACAAGGGACTGAGGCCTACAGAAGCTACTGGATGTCCCCCAGATGCATCCCCTCTCCCAGCAGAAACAGGAGGCTGCCATTTCAAGGGGCGAGCCTACAGTGTGTAGACATGGGGTGCACAGGCACCTCACTTTACTGTGCGTCGGCAAGTTTCTCAGAAACTCAAGGTTGCGGCGACAGTGTCTTGAGCTATGCTATTTTTTTTTTTTTTCTCGACGACATTTGCTCACTTTGTGTCTCTGAGTCATGGTTTGGCAATTCTCAGTGATCTTTGATGTTACTATTGCAAAAAGATTATGACTTGCTGAAGGCTCGGAGGGCAGTTAGCAATTTCTAGCACTCAAGTACTGGGTTCTTTTGGCTGTAGCTCATGGCAGGTGGGATCCTAGTTCCCTGACCAGGACTTGAACCCATGTTCTCGGCACTGGAAGTGTGGTGTCATAACCACTGTGCCAGCAGGGAAGTCCCCATAAAGTATTGCTTAATTAAGGTATGTACATTATTTTTAAAACATAAAGTGTGTATGTTATTATCATTATTTTTACTGCTAGCTTTTCTGGTTTATTGGGGCTTCCCTGGTGGCTCAGATGGTGAAGAATTCTCCTGCAATGTGGGAGACTGGGGTTCCATCCCTGGGTTGGGAAGATCCCCTGGAGGAGAGCATGGCAACCCACTCCAGTATTCTCGCCTGGAGATTCTCCATCAACAGAGGAGCCTGGTGGGCTACAGTCCGTGGGGTCACAGAGTCGGACACGACTGAGAGACTAAGAGAGCACCGGTTTATTGATTTTATGCCATTGGTCTATTATACTTAGGATTGGCCATTCTTTAAATTTGTTCTCGTCAAAAAAAAAAAAAAAAAGCGCGCGCGAGAAAATTTGCACGTTTATGCTATCTAAAACTCTTCAGCTTCAGTCCTCTCAATGCAACAAGGCCCCGCCCTTGTGCCTCGAGCAGGGTTAGTCTCCCTGTACTTCCCCATATCACCGCAAGGGGGCGCTGCTGGGCCAGGAGCCTGTCTCGGGGATCCCTTGCTGTGAGGCGGTGGGAACTGTGCGCTTTCCCGCCCCTCCGGGAGAGCGGGCATCACCTGTGAACCTTTGCTCAGGTGGGCGTGTGATTTCGCGTGGAGCCGAATCAGCATTCCGCTGAGAATCCTAGAACTCTCAGCTAGGATCAGAAAATCTTTGTTCCAGTCTCAGCTCTGCTTCTGTTTATTCATTTAATTGAAGTATATGGCTCACAATATTATTTTAACTTCAGGTAAGGAACATAGTGATTCAGTATTTTAGTAAGTACATTGTTCCTTTAGACATAATGCTGTTGCACACTTAGTAGACGACAGCAGAGTGTACACACAAGTTCTACAAGCACTAGGAAAAAAATTCACATGACTCGCTTTACTGAGATCCATGCTTTGCTGCAATGTCTGGAACCCACACTGTCTCTGAGGTGGGCCTGTATTTGGAAGGTGGCTCAGTGCCTGAGAATCAGGTTAAAACGGAGCATTTCTGAGCGGCTCCAGGGAGGGTGGGGAGGAAGTGGGACCCCTTGCTGCGAGGTGGTGGGACCTGCGGGCTTTCCTGCCCCTCCTGGAGAGCAGGCATCACCTGACAACCTTTGAGTAGGTAGGCGTGTGATTCGCATGGAGCGGGGCAGCCGGCCTGACTACCATCCCTGGGATCCAGGCCTCAGGCCTCTGGGGCTCAGGATGGGGCACCACCCCCACCCTGCTCACCGTTGGTGCAGATCACGCTGGCGTCCTCGTCATGTCTGCAGTTGCTTTGCATCCAGCCCAGGGATGAGCAGTTGGCCAGCGAGGGCTCTGTCCCCGTGCACCTCACCTCGTCCAGCATGATGGGGCCATGTCCTGGAAGCACAGCAAAGACGACAGAGCCTGGAGGGGGAGCTGGGGCTCTCGGCCACGGGAGGAAGGCCCTGACAACAGCGCTGCTTCCCGAGAAGCCTCGTAAAGGACAGTCGCGGTTACGCACAGAGATGGAGAAAAGCACTTTGCAATCCTGCCATCCCAGTAAAGCGGCCCCTGGTTGGTGACGTCCCCTCCAGCGTGGGTCCACGTGGGCATGTGTTTTCACCCAGTACCGTCGTGTGACTACACGAGCATGGGTGCAGATCTATTATTGTAACTTCATGCCATGAACTAGCCTTGTTCGACCCGGTCGGTTGGCTTCGTATAGATAGCAAATAATTTTACTGTAACTTATGCATCTACCCCTGTGGCTGAATATTTGGATGATTTCTCTTTTTTCAGAATCACAGGCACTGCACACAGACTTTTCTTTTGGCGGGAAACTGTTTCCAGAAGGTAAAGTCCTGGAGTGGAGTTTCTGGGCTGGAGGGAACAGCCGCTAGGCAAGTGTGAATGTATGCCAGGCTACCAGCTCTTGGCCAGTGCAGGGCTTCTACCTCTTTGAAACCTTTGCCAGCGCAAAGCTGGTGGGAATGCCATTTGCACGCCTTAGGTATGACCCCTTCCTGGGCCTTGTTCCTTGGCAGGGCGTCCTGCTTTGGGGGACCTGGGGGCCCACAGGTTACCTGGCCCGAAGGCGGCCCCGCCCAGAGCCTCGGTGGCGTTCCGGAAGCCCAGGGCGCGGCAGACGACGCTGGCATCCGTTAGGTCCCACATGTTCTCACACACCGTCCCCCACTGGCCGCTGTAGTAGATCTCCACGCGACCCTCGTTGGCAGAACCCCCATCGGCTAGCCTCATGTCACCGTCTTTCACGCCTGTGGGCTCTCAAGGGAGAGCAGAGGTCAGCAAGGATGGAGACTGGGTGCTGGGGCTTCAACCTGGGTGGCTGCCTGGCCACCCCACATTCTTGGGGGCCATGGGCTTTTGTGGGGGTGGTAGAGTTCTCCCCAACAGGGGTGAACTCTGGACCATTAGCTTTGAACACTCCATCCATCCTCGAGGGGATCACCCCCTGGGAGGAGTGAAAAATACACATAGATCCCCCCCATACACACACTGAGGGTAGATATCCCCTTTCTAGTCCTTGGGGTCTGAGTCCCTCATGCCATTGATAGAGAAGGGCCAGGGGGCACTTGGGGCCGCCTGAGAATGGGGTGGCAGGACCCCAAGGGAAGAACAGACCCACACTGGCCCCACCTGTGGGTGTCTGGGACTCGGGGTGCAGCCTGGGCACCATGGCAGGGACTGCTGGGAGGGGTGTTCGGGAACACCTGGGGACAAAGGCCCAGAGCGCCCTAGAAACACAGGAGGAGTATGCCAGACCAGGAGAGAAAGCAGGGTCCCAGCTCCACACTCGTCCTTCTGGGACTCAGCCCGCTGACCTCCCCACCCAGCCCCACCTCAGCCCCTGCTGGAGCCGACAGGGTCAGGCAGGAACCGGGTGCCAGGTCAAAGGGCACTTCTCAGATGGGGTGTAACAGGCCTTCCATGGGGTCACCGGGAAGAGGAAGGGCATCTGAGTGTGAAGAGCATGAGGACAGGTGTCCAGGACACTGGAAGCTGACTGTCCAAAGAGCACCAACCCCAGGCCCCTCGGGGCTCAGCGGCTCTGAGGGCCCCTCCCGCCTGGTCCCTCTGGTTCTGGCTGGATGAGAATGGAGCCCCCAGCCTCCTCTGCAAACCTCTGAGCCATGACTGGGGGCAGCCAGGGCTTCACGCAGGAGAGCAGACCCGGGCTGGCCCCTGTGATCCAGGTGCCGGGCAGAAGACTTTCTGCAAGGGGAAGGGACCATGCTCTCGGCATACCTGGGGCTCAGCTCACCTTGAGTCCCCGCGACCAGCAGCCACATCCAGAGGAGCCGTAGGGGGGCCATGGCCTTGCCTGGGGGTCGCTTGTCCTGCAGTGACAGGAGGCAGCGGAGTGAGAGGGTGGAGCTGGACAGGCCTCCGGCCCTCCTCGTGGAGGGTGCTCTGGGTGTCAGGTGAGGGCCCCTCACCTTGTCTGAAGGTGGCCCTCCGAGGACGAGGAAGACTTGCCCAGATGAGGGGGGGCGGTCTCTGGGCAGCGAGGACAGTGGGGGAGAAAGATGCCCATATCAGAAAGCTAGGCCCTGGGCGTGACTGTCAGGGGGCACGGGTGGGAAGGGCGGGGACGGAGGAGGCAGAGGGTGCAGGGCAGAGATTGGGAGGGCCTGGGGGGCCCCGCTCAGGGTGGCTAAGAGATGGCAGGGATGGCTCAGCTGGCAGGCCAGCCTGCAAGAGTACCCTGCGGTCTGCAGCTGCCAAAGAACATTGCGTGGACTCTGGACCATGTGAGACCTGGAGAGGAGCGGATGAGAGAGGGGCAGGGTGGGGAGGCGTCAGGAGGAGGCCACAGAAACCCGGGCAGGGGTGACACGGGACGGTGAGCAGTGACAGAGACAGGGGGGGGGTTGGGTGCGGGTCGGGGGAGGAGAGGGCTGAGGGCTAAGTCCCAGGCCTCTGCCTGGGCAGCTGGGTGGGGGTAGGGGGAGACTGGGGGAGGGGAACGAGATGAGAGGATGCGCTGGGTCCACTCAGTGTGGGCCTGGCACTGCCACCTCTGAGGTCAGCGCCCCCAGGAAACAGGCTGGAGGAGGTGGGGGACCACAAAGGCCACACAGCCAGCCCCGGGGAAGGGGGGGCAGGGGGCACCCAAGTCTCTCCACTTTTGCCGGGACGTCTGGCCTCTGTAATTCTCACGGCTCGCTTTTTCTCTTCACCCACATCCTGCCCCTCACCTGCCTCCCTCCCTTCACGTCCGCACACCAGCACAGCGAGGTGGGAAGAGGGGCGTGGGGGGCTGCAGAGAGTCCCTGCTGCTCTGGCCCAGGAAGGACCTTGCAACATCCATATCCACCCTCAGGGCCCAGCCAGCAGGGCTGTGGCCGCTGTTGTGGGCACCCCTCAAGTCAGGGCCTGGTAACCAGACCCCCCGGGGGCTCCCAGGCACAAGAGCCTGCTGTCACCGAACAGAGACCCTCAGGACCGCTCACACCACTGGCTCACGGAATCCTGACCACGACCTTGAGAAAGCCTCGCTGATCCCACCTTACAAATGAAGGGGCTGAAGCCGGAAGGGGAGCCAGCTCTGCTCAAACAGCTGGGGAGCCATGGGTGGTGAGTGGCTGCGGGGGAATCTGCCCAGTGGCCACCTTCTCTTCATCATATGGACCTCAGCTGATGGCCGAGGGGCCAGGATGACCAACCACCCAGCACACTGCAGCCTGTCCTGGTTTTAGCACTGGAAGTCCTATGTCCTGGGACATGCCCTTGGTCCTAGGCACATGGGGACAGCTGGTCACCCTCTGCACTCCCCAGAAAGTGGGGGTCAGCAGCTTTGCTCATCCTGAAACAGGAACCCAGGGTCCCAGGCAGGTGGCCATTCAGGCATTTGGCTCATGGTATGCAAATGCCACTGCCCCGCAGCTTTGGCCACCCATCTTTGCCTGACTCATTGGAGAGATGAGGCAGAGTTGCCTGCGCAGGGCCATTCGGCACTCTTGTGCAAATTGGGGAAAGTTGCTCTTCCTTTGGGCAGGCCTAGCCTGAGCAGAACAGCAGATGAGAGAGAGCGCCTCGGGTGAACTGTTTCCCCTTTGGGCGGAACAAAGCGCCCCGGCTGAACTGTTTCTCCTTTGTGCACCAGTGAACAACCTGCCCAACTGGACAGAGAGACCCCTTGGGCCTGGGAGCAGCAGTGATGGTCCCTGGATTCAGGAGGAGCATCAGATCCCTAACGGAGCACAGGCAGGGAGACTGGGCCCCTGCAAGATTACACTGTATAAAGAGAGGGGCACCCACCTGAGAGCAAGAGCTTGCCAGCTTACCTGCCCGGGGCCCCTGCGGATGGCTGTCCTGAGGCCTCCCACCTGCAGAGGAACCTCCGATCCAGAAGACCCTCCCAGTTCAGAGGGTGTCAGGCTGGTCCCAGGAAGAGCTTCAGAAAGCTCAGTGTAGTTTCGATTTCAAGAAACCACCTGACACCGTTTTCTTCTGGGGTTGGCTGCTGCCAAGGCTTCCTGCTCCCCTCCCCGCCCTTGGCGCCGACTGGGGGCGGCTGGGACAGCGGTGCGGAGCTTGGCAGCCGCCCAAGGCTGCAGTCGGGCTGATTTTGCTCTGGTTACAGAGCAAGGCAGCTGATGGCCACATTTGAATTTCAACACTCTCTCGAAAGCTGAAGCGGTGCCAGGGGTGGGTGCTGGGGAAGGGGAGAGGAGGGGCAGCAGGGGCCGGTGGTCAGAAGAGCAGAGGATGGGCGTGGACAGGTTCTGTCTGCATCCAGGGACCGTGGGCTCTTTCACCGCACGCCCACGTCCGTCTCCTGGGTCTCACGTGTGGCCGGGGGTGGGGGTAGGCGGGCTGCTCACTCTGCTCTAAGCACTTGACATGCCTGACCTGAACATTTCACCCCTCTGGGGCGGGGGAAGAACCTCTGGAGTGGACATAAATTGTTCTGCCCATCTCACACCCACTCCCTTTCCTTCCCTCTGACAGAGAGCCGGCACCTCGATTTTCCCCTGGGGAAGCACACTGGGTTTGGCCTGAGTCTGGCAGGTCGGAGACAATGGTGTCAGGGTGGGGTTGTGATCCCAGCCGACCTGAGGGGTCAGTTTTAGATTGCTGGAAGGGGACCCTGTAGGGAGCAGGCGGCCTGGAGGCGCTGTTGCCCCTGGTGCCCCCGACTGTGCCCCGAGGAAAGCCCAGCTGAGGATGCAGTGAGGGCAGAGACGAGAGATGGAGGAACCCAGGTCCTGATGCTATGGTTTAAGCACCTCCATCCCCCTGGCCTGAAGTCAAGGTCAATTCCTGGCTTCAAGTTTAAATGAGGCAGTCAGCATCCTCTTTTATTTCTTTCATTTGCATCCCAGGTTCTGGACGAGGGTTATCCCCTAGGATGTCCCCAGGTCTCTCTAACCTGCTGGCTGTCGCCCTGGTTGGCTCCTGAGAATCACCCAGGAGTTTCACAAACTCCCAGCGTCCAGATCACAACCTCTGGGGTGGGGAAAGGCCTTACAGCCTTGCAGGTGGTTCTATGTACAGCCAGGGCTGAGAACCATTAGTGGGGAGACAGAGTTTCCCTGGTAGCTCTGAGTCCAAGAGAGTGAGCCCTCAGGCCGACCATTTAATGACTATTTGCCCAAAACCTGCGGTTTGAGGGGGCTACGGGCTCCTGTATCTCCTCCAAAGAAGCTGTAAAGCCCCGTGGGGGGAGCGCAGAGTGGAGCTGCAAAAACAGAAGTGGCAGAAGAGACTGGAGAGTTTTAACATCCCATCCAACTGAAGGAGCCTCAGTGCTGGCTGTCACAGAAACCCCGGCCTTGTCACTTTTAGCCTCCATTGGTTCTTGCCCCAGTAAGGAGCTGGTCAGGGTCAAGAGTGCAGAGGAAGTCCTTTGGGAGGAACTGGTGGCGATGTCAAAAAACCCAAGCTGCCGAAGGGCATGGGATCAAAGCAGGGGTGTCTGTTCCCTTCCGGCTCTCAGAGCCTTTCCAGTCTTCCTCCCACTAAGGGGACTGGATTAGGAACTGAGGCCATCTGCTCCAGAGAGGAGTGACTAAGCTGTGATAAGGAGACCGTCCGTGAAAGCCTTGGCTCCGCAGATAATCGTGCTGGTGGGGACCATGTGGATGCAGGTGCCCACAGCCGATGCAGTCAGGAGTGTGCTGGGGGCTGTCAGAGACCAGAGCCCGTATGAAGCCTGTAAAACTTTCTTTTGTGCCTCCTCTCCCGCTCCACCAAACAGGGGAACGCTGCCTGTGACGCTAACGTAGAGATAGCTGGCACTGCTATAATCTTTGATGGGACCCATTCAACACTCCCAGCCTCTACAGGAAATTGCTGTTGTTCAGTCGCTCAGTCGTGTCTGACTCTTTGCGACTCCAAGGACTGCAGCACGCCAGGCTTCCCTGTCCTTCACCATCTGCCAGAGTTTGCTCAAACTCATCCATTGTATCGGTGATGCCATCCAACCATCTCATCCTCTGCCACCCCCTTCTCCTCCTGCCTTCAATCTTTCCCAGCATCAGGGTCTTTTCCAATGAGTCGGCTCTTTGCATCAGGTGTTCGAAGTGTTGGGAGCTTCAGCTTCAGCATCAGTACTTCCAGTGAATATTCAGGGTTGATTTCCTTTAGGACTGACTGCTTCAATCTCCTTGCCGTTCAAGGGGCTCTCAAGAGTCTTCCTAGCACCTCAGTTAGAAAGCATCGATTCTTTGCACTCAGCCTTATGGTCCAACTCTCACATCCATACATGACTACTGGAAAAACAATAGCTTTGACTATATGGACCTTTGTCGGCAAAATGATGTCTCTGCTGTCTAGGTTTTAGAATGCTGCCATGGCTTTTCTTCCAAGGAACTCTTATTAACTCTTTTTAAAAAAATTTTATTTATTACTTTTGCTGCGTTGGGTCTTCGTTGCTTTCTCGTTGCTTTCTCTAACTGCAGGGAGCAGGGGCTCCTCGCTGGTGGTCCTCATGGGCTTCTCAGGGTGCTGGCTTCTCTTGCTGAAGAGCGCAGGCTCTAGGCACACAGGCTCAGTTGCACCGAGGCATGTGGAATCTTCCCAGACCAGGGATCGAACCCGTGTTCCCTGAATTGGCAGGCAGATTGTTAACCACTGGACCACCAGGGAAGTCCTCTTATTAACTCTAATAGATGAGAAAACAGAGGTGCAGAGAGGGGAAACCCACCTAGTTACACGCTGAGAAGGGGGACTGTTGGCATGTCAACCACTTTTTCAAAAAACTGACTTGAGATATGATAATTTACATACAATAAAGTGTATCAATTTAATGAGCTTTGGCAAATGTATACAGATGGTAACCATGACAACCGTAACAAAGAGAACATTC